TACTGACAGTAGCTCTTCTTTCACCTGTGAGGATGTTTGCATCCTGCAGACTGACCTACTGACAGTAGCTCTTCTTTCACCTGTGAGGATGTTTGCATCCTGCAGACTGACCTACTGACAGTACTTGCATCCTGCAGGTCATCTCTCCTTCCTTTCTCATGAGCTGAATCTATAATTGGTGAACAGAGAAGGACTCCCTGGATCCATCTTTGACTTTATTCCAACTATTTCTTTTAGTCTGACTCAACTTTAATCTGAGACTGAACTAACAGCTACTGAGACCAGGTCTAAACTAAAGGCATCAATAAATAGCACAGTGAGCTAAACTCCTCTATGGAGGAGATGTGTTGCTAAAGCTCCTCCGTGGTTCCTAAATGCTGCTCCCGGTGTGAGCGGGAACCACAGCAGAACCAGGAGGCTAGCCGGGGAAGAGCTAAGAGGCTAACCTGGAGCTCGGCCCTCTCCACCTCCCAGTGTGCCCTCTCGATCTCGAACCGGGCCCACTCGTGTTGGATGTAGTGCAGGATCCCGGGAATAGTGTACTGCTGATGAGGCCGAGGCAGGTCTTCGTTCTGCTGCGGGACCATGACCGCTCCGATAGGGGGACCGCCGCCGCTGCTGCCGCTGCTCCCCTGCTGGTGCTGCAGCGGTAAAGGCGACTGTCTCGAGGCGGCCGCTCCTCCTCCTCCTCCTCCTCCGGAGTGTTCCTCCATGTTTTAATGTTTTTGTTTGGAAATCGGTTAGTATTCAACCAGGAGAACGAGAGGAGTCTGCCGGGGGGTGTGCTGCGGTGTCACCGCGGCGGTGCTTGAGGCTGGCTGCCCCTCAGCGTGTCGGGGAGTCCAGCTGGGTGTAAATGCGGTGTTTACGTGTAGCTCTAACCGGCCGCCATCTCTGTTCTCCTGAAGAAGCCGCCGCGCTGCATGACGGTACATCCACCGGGATTCTCCTCTTCGTCTCAGATTTTTCCTGCTGGATGGCAACAAAGGAGCAGGGTTAACAGCGCCCCCTGCTGGTGTGGAATGCAGATTATTTTTTTCCCCCCTATGATTTTATTATTATTATTATTATTATTATTATTATTATTATTATTATTATTATTATTATTATTATTATTATTATTATTGTTGTTGTTGTTGTTGTTGTTGTTGTTGTTGTTCTTTTTGTTGTCACTATTGTTTTTGTTGTTATTATTATTATCATCATATGGTTATAATTTGCCGGTCCAGGTTGTTTCTATGTTGTATTTATGGATGATCTGACGTTGACTAAATTAGGCTGAGGTCCTTTGCAGTGAACAGGCTCCTGCTTCAAACCTTCTCTGACCCTGTGGTGGCATCAGCCCTCCTCTACGCTGTTGTCTGCTGGGCTCCTGGCAGCTCAGAGCGGGACACAGAGAGACTGAACAGACTTTGATTTCTAAAAAGCTCCTAGCGCCAAATCTAGAGACTTTTTTCTGCTACTGGAGACT